TTCAGTGACCAGCTGGTGGGACAGTGTCCTGTCTCACTGTACAGAAGAATATAACAGGAACTTAATATACCTGGAGATTCAGAATTCAAGAGCAGTTACAAATCCTGACAAAAGCACCATATTCCATCCTGGCAATAAACAGCTGTTTTTGTTAGCAAAGAACTTTTCTCCTGGACAAGCAGATACAAAACCCAGGAACCTGGGGACAGCAGGGGAGGGCTCCTGTTTTCCTACTTGAATGTACATGCTAGTGTGTGATCCAGGGATTCTTCTGCCTGCTGCTTAGCACAGCTTGGGACGGGAGAGGAACAGCCTTACCGACTTCTTGATGTTGTCCCAGGTGCCTTTGCTGCCCCGTGTGTTCTTCTGCATCCTGAACACGTGCCTGTCGCAGTCGTTCCTGCGGGCAAGGGAGCAGCTCAGTGTCACTCGTGTGCCACCTACCGAGCGCGCTGGGTACAGGTAAAAGCATCACAAACAGCTCTACTTCAGAGGGAACAGCAGCGTGGCCATTAACACTTGTTGGTTAGTTAGAAGCGGCAGCAGCTCTGGGAGGGTAACCACACAGAAGTGTTAAACTGGCTCACGTGCAAGTCTGTCAAAGCTTCATCATCTTGCCAGATGCAGCTGATTTTTGTCCCTCAGATCAAATGCCACTGGGCAAGTTTCAAGATGATACCAATCTGCTTCAGTAAAACTGAAGTGATTGGTTAAGACTCAAAACAAGCAGAGAAACTTCTGCTGAGGCTGAAGGCCAAACCACAACCCTCTCCAAACACCAAAGGGTGTGTGACTGGCACTGCTCTGGTGGCCTGTGCTTGGCTGAGTGGCTCAAACTGCACACGCTGTCCAAGGAAAGAGCTTTCTCTGACCAAAACCCTCAGAGGCTGCAGAATTTACTCTGCATGTGCTAAGTCTGGAAGTGAACTGGTGTCCCAGTTCCAGGAGTGACTTCTCTCTGAAGGCAAAAAAACAATCTTGGGGAAAATGAGAAAGGAAAAGGTTAGCAGAGGGGCAGTAGTACATGTTCCTACCTGTTGATGGGTACCAGCATCCCAGGGCTGATATGCCCACACTGAGGAGTTTTCACCGTTGGGAAGACAGCTGAGGAGGGGGTGAGGGGGTGATCCGTAAGTGCAAAGTCATCATCATCATCTCGGCTTCCTCGCAACGTTGGCAACTACAAAGCCACATCAGAGCAATCAGGGAGTGCTGCTTTAACACAGGTCGGTCCAAAAGGCATCTCACGGGTCTGCCTCAGGGTGGCGACAGGACACGGGCTCTTCACAGCTCTGAACCTTGGTTCTGTCCCTCGTCCCCAGGGGGAGGAGTCCCAGACTCTTCTCCCCTCAGCAGCAGTTGCTCTGTTCTCTTCCTGACTTCAGTTGTGGTTTTGATGCCACCGTGTCCCTGGTGAGGCAGAGGAGCCAGCAGTGTGCAGAGCACACAGGGTGCAGAGGGCAAGGACTTGACATGGCAGGCAGATGACACCTCCATCTTGCTCTTAATGCTCCTCCCGTTGACACCCAACATTTTGCTGACTATTTTGGCTGCTACTACACATTCAAATAACTACTCCTAATTAAAACGATGAGCCCAAGGCTGACCATCACTATGCAGGAGGATTTCAGGATTACTCAATTAAATTCTGGTCCTTCCATTTTGGAGAGAACTGGGAAGGTTCAGAGAGGAGCAGCAGAGCTGATCAGAAGCACAGCAGGGCCTGGGAGAGGGAGAACCACAGCTGGCAGCAGGGCTGAACAGGGACCAGGACAGTTGTTGGCTGTCTCTTCCCCATGAGAAGAGGAGGACAAAGTCAGCAGATGCAAGTTCAGAACAAGATAAAAGGTGATGATTCTTCACACAGCAAATAATTCAGCACAAGAAGTTGCAGCTGTGAATCATAGAATCATAGAATCTTAGGGGCTGGAAGGGACCTCGAGAGATCATCTAGTCCAACCCCCCTGCCAGAGCAGGGTCACCTAGAGTACATCACACAGGAACTCATCCAGGTGGGTTTTGAATGTCTCCAGTGAGGGAGACTCCACAGCCTCCCTGGGCAGCCTGTTCCAGTGCTCTGTCACTCTTACAGTAAAAAATTTTTTTCGGATATTCACCTTGAACCTCCTGTGCTCCAATTTACACCCATTACCCCTTGTCCTATCACTGGTCCTCACTGAGAAAAGCCTAACTCCGTCCCCCTGACACTCACCCCTTACATATTTGTAAACATTGAAATGTCTGTGCAGGTTCCAGAAGGGCCTGGATTGGTTCATGGAAGGGGAACACACTCATGACTCCTAAATACACAGGGTATGTCTGGAGTTGTGCCTCTGGCTGTACCCCACGGGAGGTTGGTTCCATGTGCACAGCTCAAGCTAGGCACAAGGAACTTAAAAAAAGAAAAGAGAACCCTTTTGAACCACTGGCTGAAATTGCATTTGACCAAAGAGGAGTCTCCTGGAGAATCCCCTGGCAAAAACAGGATTTCTGGGACATGGATTCTCTCACAGCCAATCTGGTCTAGTCCTGGGGGTTGCTCCATAGCACACTGGTTTGTAGAAAGCACTGGAGTTACCACTGCTTCAGGGCTGACTTCCCATCAGTGCCAGAACGAGAGCAGCAGTGCTGCTGCAGAGAAAAGCCCCAAGGGGAAAACCCATCAAAAGCCTGACAGGGGCCTTTGGGAGGCCCTGCTTCAACAGCAGAGCTGCTTGGTCAGGTAACAGCACAAAGAGAGATGCATCAGGAAATGTACTTCAGAAAAAAAAAAAAGTTGTTCTCTTGCTGAACAAGTGGCTTTCCCTTTACAAATGAAAACAGTCTTAACAAGCACCTAGAGGGCCTGACTGTGCCCACCACAGCAAACTGGAGGTTTGTCACAGTGAGGGTCCTGCTGCAACTCTGGTGCTGCACCTGCTGGGTGTGATGGGGGCTGCACGAGGAGTGGGAGGGGAGGGCAGGACACTCCTCCTGCTTGGGCTGCTGGCAATGGGTCTAACCAGGGAAATGGGGCAGCTCTTCAGCCCAAACAGGAGAGCGAGTAAAAACCACAGGCAAGGGCAAGAGGGTAACAGAACTGCCAAAGAGAAACCCACCCATAGGCAGCATCGAGAGGCAAGTGGTTTTAAATGTGAGAGACACTAAGGGGAGAGAAAGGAAAAAATCTTGTGAAGTAGCAGCATGACTTTAGGAAGTACCCAGTTACACAGCACATGGAACCAACAGTTGTCACTGGCACAGCAACATCACTGCACAACCAGTGCTGCACAGCACCAGGAGTTCCCCACAGAGGCAAAGGGACCCCCTACCACAGCCTGCTCCCCCTCCCCTCACAGCCTGCTCTCCTCACACCCACTCCGTGGCTTTTGCATCTGCACAGGCCACATTCTCACTGCCAGCAATCCAAGTATTGCAACACCAAATCAGGGGAATAAACCTCTTCCCCCAAATCCTCAAGGTTTTATTGATGGAACTGAATCAGCAGACTTGTAACACACCCTTCAAATACCAACCAGAAAAGCACAGGGATATATCCACTGGTTTCCCAGACTTACCTTTACTCTTCTGTTCTGAAAGGGCGTCGCAGTGAAAATATCATCGTGGTTGTCCTTTGGCAAATGGTCCAGGAAATCTCTCATCTGCTGCTTTCTTTTGAAGGTTCCCACTTTGGCATTTATTGTAACTGGCTCTTTCTTTTCTATGTAAATCAACACATTAATTGTTCTAAGATATCAGTTATGTAGCATGGTTTTAAAATTTGCTAAGACAGCAGTGCTCGTGATACAGTTCAGTCTCTGATTGCTGGAAATGTCTTAGAGCTTCCCTGTGATCCTTGGACTTCTTACACATTTTATGCTTTCAAAAATAATTTCTCTACTACATCTTGATCAGAAGCTTACTCTAGAGCCACACAATCACACAATCATTGAAGTACCAGCTGGTTTATTACAATTTTAACAGAATTATCCAGGCATCTGCATGTCAAAGGAAGAAGACATTAAGATTGATCACCCATGTCAAGAGGCACAGAATGTTCAAACAAAGGCTCTTCTGCAGAGACCCAATTCAGCATCCTCAACACGAGGTTTGTGGGATGCTTAGCATCTATCCTTCCACACCTGAATCCAATTGCCACACCCCAATAATAAGTCATTAAATCTTGAAGGGAAGAAACAGGTTTGTGGCTCCCACTGGTGTGTGTGTTCCTGTCCTCTGCTTTCCTTTACAAGGGGCTTTCAGGGCAAATTTAGAAGACCATCTTCCTAATATCCTCATCTTCAGACAAGAACTGATTTTAGTAAAGAAGAAAACTCTCCTAATCACAGAAGTGCAGAGAACTTTGATACTGTGATAATACCCAAAATAGGGTGGTTTCTATTTGTGTTCCAAAGTGCTCAAGAAAAATACCACCACTGTCAAAGATGAACAAAACTCCTAGCAAAACTGCTGCCCTGCAGATTCTTACACAAATTCTGTGATTGCAACAAACATTCCAAAGAACTACTTGAGTAAAAATGCAGTGTGCTGTCCTGCACTGGAACCCTCCACCTGCTCCTTTTCCGAGTTGCACAAAACCACAGTTTGAGAACTCTGAGGGCAGGGAAACCTACTGGGATCACCTGCTCTGCTCTGTGTGGCAGAGGGTGCAGAGCTGGAGCCATGAGTTCCCATGGGAAATCCAGCAGCTGTGGGTAACCTGGATCATCTCCTTTGGACAGAAAGTGATTTTCATGCTTTCAGTAAACAGAGACTGCTGCACAGCTTTAACCCCCAGGGAACATGCCCAGAGTCTTCTCTGCCCACTGCTGTTTAACACTTAAGGCTCCAGCTTCCAGCAGCTGAGCAGTGGCAGGTCCTTACCAGCCAGAGGAGCTGCTGCCCAGTGACTTCTCTTACCCAAGCACTCAGCAAGTCGCTGAGACCTTCTCTGTGCTAAATGACTGCCCGGAGCATCTGGTGCCTTTCACAGGGCTCTGTGACTATGAATTACTGGCCTCAGAGCTGGACAGAAAACAGCAACAGGCACCTCAGTGCCAGACCCTGGAGCACAAAACCCGGGTGCCCTGAATGCACCCAGACAACCCACATGACTTTGGGAGAGAGAGCTCTGCAGGTAGCTCATTACCTACTAGGCCTTCAACAGCCTCTGAAGGTATCAATAGCTATTGTCCCTTAGGTAGCAAAGCCAGATTAAATCTTACCATCATGCCAAAAACTAGGAAACTCTAGAAATACCTTTTCTCACTTCAGTCATTTATGACACCCTCCAGTCATACTGTAGAAGAGAAACTGCTTTCCTGCCAAGCCCTGATGTGTGTTTATGTCTGTATCTCCTAACACACAATAAATGCTGAATTGGAGGTTATTTGAAGACAACAAAATACCCAGAGACCAAGACGTACCTTTCTTTCCTGGTTTTCCTGAAGTGGCTGTCCTCTTGGCCTGCGTTTTTCCACCTTTTGCCTGTTGCTCTTCCACATACTTGTGCTGGCACTCCTCAGCAGAGCGGGACCCCACGGCCATGGCCACCTCCAGCCAGAAGCCGCCGCGGTGCTTGGGGAAGGAGGCGACGGCCCTGCCAGAATAACCCACAGCCTGTCAGGCCAGGGGGCTGCACAGCACAGCCAGGCACAGCACCCCACCCCACCTGCCTCCCCACAGGGGAGGTGGAGACATCTTGTCTCTGGTACCTTGTCCAGACACTTCAAAACATCCACAAAATTGTTTCAGCCATTTAAGCCGGCAGCTTCCCTGCATGATAAATCCTTCCCTACTTGCAGCCCCTCCACCCCCTAGGGCAGGAGCTCATGCTTTCCAGGTTTCTAATCTAAAAGAAACAAGTAATAGAATGACCATGTTTGGTTTTAACTTACATAATAAATACTGCCAAGTAGCTTAAGTAATTGGATGATGCATTAATTAAACATTCTTGCAGTTAATCTCCCCCTTACAAAACTTAACTCCACAAGCCTGTCATTTTATGCTGTGAGGGCAGGCAAGAAGCTACTTCTGTCTTGCTGTTTAAATCATTACACCTTTTACCATATTATTCACCTACTCATGCTTTTCAATTTTACTCACAGGAAAGTTTATCACTTTTAACAGGATTAAGTATGTGCTTTTGAGAAACATGCAGAGGATCAGATTCACAACATTTTGCCCAAGATCTGTGTTCCTCTCCTCTCACATGGATGGCACTAGCAGGGCTGCTGCAGGCTCATGCAGTTACCAATTATTTTACAAAATCCTCAGCTGTCTCCTTTATTTCCCCATTTTCCAATTTTTTAACAAAGACTGATTTTGTAATAGGAAATTAAATGTAAAGGAAATTTTTAAAATATGGTGAAACAGACTGAATCTGAGAGATCCAACCCAGACCACCCAACCCCTCAGGTATATTAGCCTCCTGATATCTGAGGGAAACTTTGCCCTGGGGACACGAAGCAACCACTTGCCTGTAGAGCTTCTGTAACTCCTTTTCAGACCAACCATCTGTCGCCCTTGGAAAAAGTTCTAGAGATTTCTGCACCTTCTCCCTCTCAGGTTCTCTTGATTTTCCTGCTG